TGAATCATTGAGGGAAAAATTGGGGAACCCAAAATACAAAGCATACAAACTGAAATATTCAAATACAAAGCATTGAGCAACAGTGATTTTTAGTCCAAAGTTAAAAAAGAAAAAAAAAGAAAAGTGTTATTTGCCAAATCCAGAAGGAGATTGGAGCAGTGCAGAAATTTTTAGCAAATGATGAGTGCTGCAAGCAGTGTTTTGTGATAACAGACATTTTGCAAAGCATTGGTGGTTACTCTTGCCTAAATTTTGAACAATCTGAGCTGAAAATTTGAAAAGACAGGGGGATGCACTTTCAGAGCTCCTGGAGATCATGAACAAATCTTGTATAACTTGATAGGATACAACACGTAGCTGTACAACTGACAATTGCATTCATGTATTAATGTCGGCTGCAGAATGACTACACAGCTAGATGCCAGTCCTATGAGAAAACCCCAGAGAAGCAAGGGAGAAAAGGAGACCTAAAAGGCACCATAAGATTTGTTCAAGTAGATAGCTAGAAAATGTGGTAACAAATTATTCTGTTGTGGAGACAAGTGCATGGATTACTGCTTACATGGCATATGTTAAGGGCATCTGAGTGGCAGGCCACTCCCCTTGTGCTAGGCATGTGATCAGCAGTCTGCTTACCCTGTAGGCACAGCCCTGGGTTTGAGGCCACGTGTTGAAGTCCTTGTACTTGCTCCATGGTCTACTGCTCAATTTGTTGCTGCAAGGGCATTTAGCAGAATAACATTGGTGGCTGCTGTAATCAGCACTAACACCAGAATAACACAGAAGTTACAGTTACCTGATGAGCATTTTAGACCAAGCATTATAAAAATACTTCAACAAGCAATTACAGACATGCCTAGAAAAAGTAGAAAAAAAAAAAGAAAATCGTGACAGATGAATAGAAGATAAAACATCAAATTAAATTTGAAGAATTAAAGACAGAATAACCCAAATGATAAATACATGGATTTCAACAGTAGCTGGAGATAACAAGAGAATTTAATAAACTAGAAGAAAGAGCACTAAAAACCTACTCAGTTGGAGCAATAGAAGAAAAATAGATTGAGAGGGGAAAGGAAGAGAGTCTCAAGGGCCCATGAGACTATAGGAAATGTCCTAACTTTTCTGTCATTCAAGTTCTGCAAGGAGAGGACAAAGAGAAACTGAAAAACTATTCAAATAAATAATGGATAAAAAAATCCAAATCTGGCCAAAGACATAAACTTTTAGAATCCAAAAGGTGAAAGAACCACTAATTGTTAAACTTAAATAAATATATGTCTAAATATATCATAGTATAATTTATGAAAACCAGAGATAAGAAAATCTTGACGAAACAAGAAACAAACACTAATGTGGGGAGATTATCTGCTGATGGGAGATTTCTCATTGAAATCATGGAAGCCAGAAAGGTTCCAGTAATACAGTATTTTTCAGCTATGGAAAGAACGGCTGGCCCACAATTCTATATCCTATATATAGCAAAAACATTCTTCAGGAAAGAAGGGGAAACCAAGATATTCCCAGATAAAATAAATAAATAAAAGAAAAGAATTTGGCACTAGCAGACCTACCCTAGGATAATGAATTAAGAAGTTTTCTAGCAAGAAAGAAAATGATAAAAGAATCTTAGGAGATCAGGAAGGCGTAAAAAAGCAGGGTGGAACAAAATTAGGGATAAAACAAGGACACATGGAGAAGTCACGGTGAAAATAATGGGTTTCTTTTGAGGTAAAGAAAATTCTTAAAATTTGGATGATGTTTGCATAAATCCATAGATATACTAAAAGCCACTGAATTAAATAATTTGAATGGTGAATGGAACATGAGTTATTTCTCAGTAAATCTCTTTTCAAAACTCAGCTGATGAAATTGCAGTTTGCCTATGAAAGGGGCACAAAACAACTTTCTGGACATGCTGGGAAAGTTCTATGTCTTGATCTAGATGATGGTAACACAGATGCATGTTTACATTAATCAAAATGAAAATCAACTCAAACAAACTGGAAATCCATATGTAGTAAAATAAAATTTAATCCCTATCTTCACCTGGCACAAAACTCAACTCAAAGTCAATCAAGACCTAGGCATTAAACCAGAAACACTGTACCTGCTCGAAGAAAATGTAGGCCCAACACTCCAACATGTCATCTTAGGAATCAATTTCCTTAATAAGATTCCTAAAGCACAAGAAGTAAAATTAAAAAATCAATAAATGGGTTGGCATCACATGAAAAAGTTTCTTTTAAATTTTTATTTATTTATTTTTATATACAACAGCAGAATGTATTACAATTTTATTACACATATAGAGCTCATTTTTTCTGGTTGTATACATAGTGTACTCACACTAATTCGTGTCTTCATAAATGTACTTTGGATAATAATGATCATCACATCCAACCATCATTAATTTCCCCATGCCCCCTCCCTTCCTCTCCTACCCCTCTGCCCAATCTAGAGTTCTTATATTCTTCCCGTGCTTCCTCTCCTTATCCCACTATGAATCAGCTTCCTTATATCAAAGAAAACATTCAGCATTTGGTTTTTTGAGATAGGCTAACTTCACTTAGCATTATCTTCTGTAACTCCATCCATTTACCTGAAAATGCCTGGAACAAGACAGGGAGGCCCTCTTTCACCACTTGTATTTAACATAGTTCATTGTAACATTGGCCAGAACAATTAGATAGATGAAAGAAATTAAAGTGATACATATAGGAAAAGAAGAACTCAAATTGGCACTATTTGCTGATGATATGATTCTATACCTGGAACACCCTAAAAGTTCACCAGAAAACTTCTAGAACTAGTAAATGAATTCATCAAAATAGCAGAATATAAAATCAACACTCATAAATCAAAGGCATTTCTGTATATCAGTGACAAATCCTCAGAAAGGGAAGTGAGGAAAACTACCCCATTCTCAATAGCCTCAAACAAACAAACAAACAAAAAAACCTTGAGAATCAACTTAATGAAAGAGGTGAAAGATCTATATAATGAAAATTACAGAACACCAACAAAAAAGTTTCTTCACAGCAAAAGAAACAATCAAGAGTGTGAAGAGAGAGCCTACAGAATGGGAGAAAAATCTTTGCTACCCGAATCGCACATAAGGATCTACAAAGAACTAAAAAAGCTTAACACCAAAACCAAAACCAAAAGCACCCAAATAACACAATAAGTGGGCAAAGGAACTAAAAAGGCACTTCTCAAAAGGAGAAATATGAATAGTTAAAAAATATATGAAAAAATGTTCAATGTCTGTAAATCCAATAGAAAATAAATGTCAAAATACACTTTGAAATTCAAAAACAAACAAGCAAATACTACACTGAGATTTCACATCACTCCAACCAGAATGATAATTATGAAGAATACAAGTAACAATAAAGGCTACCCTCATACATTGTTGGTGAGACTACAATTAGTGCAATCATTCTGGAAAACAGTACCAAGAGTCCTCAAAAAACTAGGAATGAAAACACTATTTGATCTAGTTAGTTCACCATTCAATTTTTAACCAAAGGTGTTAAAATTGGCCTACTAAAGTGAATAAGTTACATCAATGTTTATAGCAGCACATTTCACTATATTTAAACTATGGAAACAACCTTGATGCCCATTAGCATATGAATAGATAAAGAAATTGTGGTATATATTCATAATGGAATGTTAATCAGCCATAAAGAAGAATTACTTTATGACATTTGCCAGTAAATTAATGGATCTGGAGACTATCATGCTAAGTGAAATAAGCCAATCCCAAAAACCTAAGGTTGAATGTTCTCTCTGATATGTGGATGCTAACCCACAATAATAGGATGGGGAAGAAAGAAGTTCATTGCATTAGACAAAGGGGAATGAAGTGAAGGGAGAAAGAGATAGGAATGGAAAAGACACTGGAATGAATCTGATGCAACTTTCCTATTTACATATATGGACATACCATAGTGAATCTCATCTTCCTATACATGCACAAGACCGGGAACCTAATTAGAATAAAATATATTCCATGCTTGGCTAAATATATCAAAGTGGATTCTACTGTCATGTGTAAGTAAAAAGAACACATAAAAATAAAAAATCAAACATTTACAATTTATGGACTTATGACAGTTGTGCCTTGATAAAACATGTCAGCATAAGAAAAGTACTACATAACCTCAAATTCCTTTCCAAAATGCTTTTTACAATGTATATAGACACAAATAGTGTTTAAAACTCCAGGTGTTCTACACCTTACCAGCTTCAAAAAAATTTTAAGAGTTGAGTCTTGTCTTCTCTATTGTTATGGTGTACTTCCATAGTATCTCTTTATAGAGAACATGTAAAGGTGAGGATTTTATCTTTAATACTTCAGATGCTTTTTATATTGTGTCAGATTAGTTATAATCAAGTAAAAATAGGCATCTTCTTAGTTTTCATATTAATGCTGCCCTAGTGGAAAACATTTTCACTATTAAAAATGTGTTCTTTATCATATTTGTTCTCCATTCATGTAAATAATAATTCACTGTAAAAGTCTGCAGGTGATGAGAATTTTGTCTCATTTTTGGTTTTACATATTGCTTTTTTTAAAACTTGGCTCTTGAGAATTACAAATATGTAATCAGAAAGATTTAGAATGAAGATGATTCCCATTGTGTTTCACTTTATTTTGAGGAGTATCTGGTGTCTAGGAATTGTCATCTTCTATGACTATAGCCTCTGCTGTCTTGCCATTAAGCAGATATCAAGCTGTGGGTGCAATGAGACCTGAAAGAATTCTAGGCCATATTTAAATAGTACTTCCTTTGCTTGAACATATTCACATATTTGAACATCTTTGAATGAGGGAGTCTATCTATTAATAATATGTATTTATCTGCTGAATTTTATAATTTTTTGTTCTCTAGCTGTTTTGATAATTGAGAGTAAACTATGGAAACATGAATATGGCATACGCTTAAAACCTGATCTTATAAAATACTGAAATGTCAATAATTAACACTTACCTCTATTTCTTTTGTTAATTTTTCATGTCTCCTCTTTTCTTCCTCAAGAAAACAAGTTTTTTCATTGATAGATTCTTTTACAGTTATAATTTCATTCTTTAGCTTTGAAATGTCTTCCTGTATAGTTATTAAATTTAAAATATACAAGTCAGAAAGGCAATGTTCATGTAAATCTGCAACACTCAATGTGGCCATATTTTAAGAAAAGTAGATAAATTAAATTTTAATTTTGATACATAGGATTAGATTATGACTTCTATAGGTATACTGGATAAATAACTATTATTCAAACAAAGCTACCTTACTTTGAAAACTCAGAAGTAAAAACAAATTAAGACAAAGGAAAGTGGTATTTATCGTGGCATTTGCCTGACAATAATGCAAAGGATACTTAATTCAATAGCAAAAAAAATGGTATTTTAGGTTTGTACTTATTATTGACTTCAAAGAATAGTAAGAGAAATACAAAGATATTTAAAGTGCAATTCTTAATTCAGACTCTTTCCATAACAGCATACTAAATTGGTTGGAATTGGTCTGGATGCATTGGCATAGAAGCTAGAGCCTCAACCTTTCTCTGAATTTATACTTTCTGCAACACATGGATTAATTGTTCACTGTGATTTTGTTTAACTATATATTTTTAGAAACTCACAATGTATTTATAAATATTTCCTTTATGCATTTGCACATTTGAGGTAGTTGTTATCTAAATTCATGTACTTATCCAAGTTCTTAAAAATTGTGAAAATAGTTTCTGATTGCAATAAAATAGCATTTTATTAACTTAATGATGAATGTACTATTTAATATATACTAGAATGAAAGAAAAAGTTTTGATAAGTAACAATTCAAACCTGTACTTGTGTCATTTGGTTCCCTCCTGGATTTTGGAGATCTTGTATAAGTTCCTCTTTCATTGTCTTTAGTTTTTTTACTAGATCTTGTTTTTCACAGAGTTCAATCACAAATGACCATTGGCTTTTTATCTCCCCCAAACTGTCTTTATGAGCTTTTATTTTTGCATAGTAAGTCTTATATTTTATCATGCATTCCTCAAAATCTTCTTGGGCCATTTTGATATCAAACTTAAGCTTCACATTCTCTGTATATAAGGACTTGATTTGAGATTCCAGGCTTCCACATTGAAGTCTGGAATTCTCTATGGCAGCATCCTTCTGATAAATTTGCCTCTCTGTTTCTTTAGTTTCTGCAGAGATGGCTGCTATTAGCTTTTCAAGTTCATGAAGTTCATTCTGTAATATATTTCAACATTATCATTATTAATTCATGGTACTCAGCATGAGAGGAAAATTGTTTTGATCCACAATGCATATAGGAAAATCACTTAACATAAATATATACATTAATCAGATACAGAAAAGAACTGATGCATAATAGAAGGAAATATGCAATAATGTAACAATTAGTTTCTCAGAAAGATCCCAGAGTTATATATTTCTTTTAATGGTCATCTTTTAAATTCTAAATGTTAAATTTCATCATTTTGTTTTAATATTTTATGTATAAAATATTAAAATCATTTAATAATATATTTTAATAATATATTTATGGGTGTCAAGGAAGACAATATAATAAAAATGATAAAACCCTGACTCAAGAATTAAAAGACCCGCTGGGATCGTGGTCAGTGGTAGAGCACTTGCCTCTCGTGTGTAGGCACTGGGTTCATTCTCAGCACTGCATATAAATAAATGAATAAAATAAAGGTCCATCAGCACTAAAAAATAATATAAAATAAAGGACCTAGACCTAGGTTCCAGCAGTCCTTACTGCTCTTCACTATTTTGTGTGATCATGCATAACAAATTTAGTTACCCATCCCACCTCCCTCTCTTCATTTGTAAAATGAGTATTAAGATATCTAAAATATCTACTTTACCTCTCTAGGGCATTGGGCATGGCTAACTGGTGCCTCCTTAAAAAAAGTTTTCCTAGTAACACTCTTCCTCATTCTCCTTAGCTATCTTTGAGCATTCCTTCTTAATCTCAGTGAATTCTTCAAACACAGGTCTTCAAACACAGAGTTCAGTAATTCATCATTCTCTCTTCTCCCTCTCTACATAACCCTTGGGTTACCTTGCCCATACTTATAATTTTCAGCTATGCTTCTACTGATGATACGGAGAATAAAAGTGACTTTTTAATTCCATAGCCAGATGCCCTTGGCCATGGCAAACTCATGTCCCCAAAAGACTAATTTTTTCTCCCTTCCTAGCCCATTTCCCCTTGTATCAATTATCTATTGCTAGAACCACAAAACTTCAGTGACACAACAATAAACACGTGTTCATTACTGACATGACTGGGAAAAGAAGGGGTTGGCTAGGTGATTCATATGACTGGGAGAAGTGGGGATTGGCTAGCTTGGCTAGGTGTTTCTAATCACATCTCAAACACCTGTGTGTGTGTGTGTGTGTGTGTGTGTGTGTGTGTGTGTGTGTGTGTGTACCTGAGGATCAAATCCAGGGCCTTGCATTCTAAGCAAGAGCTCAATGAAATCACATCCCTGCCCTGGGGCAGCTTATTTTCAAAATTGCTTTTAGGCAGAAATTTTAAGTCCCCTTACTCAGGAAACATATTCATTTAGTTTCTTCTCTTGGCATTTTTGAAAAAGGAAAATATGAAATTAACCACAGAGTTTTGTATCCAGTTTCCCAAGTAAAACTAAAAAATGAAAAGGAATGGTATGGGTGAGTGCCTTCATCAGTTGCCATTGTTATTCCCTCTGTATGATAATGAAACTGAGGTTCTGAGATGTTGAATAACAAAGATAATTCATCATTTCACCAGTAACTGTCAAATACTGGTTTTGAATTTTGAACTCTAGTCAGGCAGTTTGTAATTTTTTTTGTTTCTCTCCTACATTAGTATACAGGTACTATGTACTATGTACTATGTCTTTTAAATATACAGGTACATCTGAAATTTAAGTATTTATGTATTTACCAAAGAAAAAAATGTCTAGGGTTTGGCTGGTTGTAAGACAATTTAGGTTGGCTTTGAACTGAGCTGGCAGGGGTGTCTTGCTTCTACTTTATGTGTCTCCTGTCCTCCAGTGGGTCAGCCCGGGCATGTCCTTCTCATGATGATAGCAGATACAGAAAAGCCAAAGCTCAACTATTTAAGAGCTTTTAAAAAGATTTTGCTGGAATCACATCTGCTAATGCCCCAGCCAGTCACATGATCAAACTCAAGAGTCAAGGAGTGGAAGTATATCTACCCATGATGTCAGAGCATTATAATGATATGGGAAAGGGTATCAATATAGAAAGGGCTGAAAAATTGGGAACAAAAATGCAAATTAACATAACTCTATATTCCCCAAAGTACTTAACAGTATGGCTTTAAAAAAAAAACAAAAAAACTATACATCAAATTCTATAAATCCTCCCACCAAAATAATTGCTGGCTATCTCCATTCCTTTTTTCTATCTAGTTGGTCATTCTCTTTAAATAAAGTTTTAATGTTGGGAGGAAGGTATTGAATTAAAAAGACAAAGGCCTTCAATCCTTTTTCTGACAGAGACCAAAAAGATAAGTACATTGAAAAGTACAATATGCTGGTGAAACTCAATTTTTGTCTTCAGTGCTAATATTTCAAATGCCCACTTGACATTTCTGTTTGGGTGTCTAATAGACACCTCAGTTGGATATATTCAGAAAATATTTAAGTTACACACTGTGTTTACCTTTCGTTGCTGTGACCAAAATATCCAACAGGAACAATGGAGAGGAGGAAAAGTTTATTTTGGCTCATGGTCTCAGAGGTCTAGTCCATTCCTCTGGGCCCAACTGAGGCAGCAAATCATCGTAGAAGGGAGTGGTGGAAGACATGGAGGCTAGGAAGTAGACAGAGGAAAGTAGGAAGGAAGTCACAGGGAAGATGAACCCTTCCAGGGCACTTCCCCAGTGACCTACCTCCTTCAGCCAAACCCCAGCTGCCTACAGTTACCATCCAGTCCATTCACACTAGGATGGACTGATTAGAAGGTTAAAGCTCTCACAATCCAATCATTGCACCTCAGAACATTCCTGCACTAACACAGGAGCTTTTAGGGGACACCTTATGTACAAACCATACCACACACCAAACATGTTCCTCCTTACTTCTTCTGATTCCAACAAACTACACCATTTTCCACCTGGATAATCCAAAGCCATAAAGTTATTCTTAATTTTTCCATATCCCTTATCCCACATCCTACTTCCCACCAAAATGTGAGAATTGGTTCTCTAATATAAATCCCCACATTTACTTCGGACCAATCTTTGTGGTGTGGCCTAATTTCTAATCATCTTCCTATTTTCATTCTTGTCCTTCTCTTAGGCTCCATTTATCAGGAAGAAGCATCCTTGAAAGACATTTATCATGTTATGCTACTTCCCTGTTCAAGATTCTACAGTGGTGTCCCATTGCATTAAAAATAAAATTCAAATTCACCAAAGTGGCTTATATGGCCTAATATGCTCTAATACCTATCTACTTTGCTATCTTTCTCATCTACTATTCTCCCTTCTTCTAGCCTCCTTTCTGTTTATGAAATAGGCCTAATTTCTTCCCAAGAGCATTTGTAATTGTTTATTTTTCCATTTACCTTATATTCTCAACCCTGGGCTGGAGATACAGCTCAGTGGTAGAGCACTTGCCTGGCAATCATGAGACCCTGGGTTCAATCCCCAGCATGACATAAAAAAAATTCTCTAACACTGCTGGGTCTTGTCACAATTCAGCTTTATTACTATTCTTCCAAATAGGCTTCTCTGATTCAAAATATAATTTAACCACCCTTTCCCCTCCCATAGTTACTCTCTATACATTGCCCTCCTTTATATTTTTTTGGAACCCATCAGTGTCTAAAATTATCCATTATTTTATTATTTTTTAAGAAAACTTCTTTAATTTTTGCTTCCCCTAACTGTAAAGTAACTCTATGGCTACAGGAATCTTTTCTGTCCTTATCACATGTTCCCAATGCTTAAGATAGTCCTAGCACAAAGTAGGTACTCAGTGTTTATTAAGTGAGTGATGCACATGGTCAGGAAAGAGACAGGTGTTCTGTCAGTGACATTAGGATATTAACTCTATTTATTAATACAGGGAGAGGAGATGAATACTACTTTGGTCATCATCTCCTCTCTCTTCTGAGCAAATGTAACAGGCTGTTAAATTTTATTACTAGCTTTAATATCTTTTTCCTTCAATACATTTCCAACTTTAAATTACTACCACTACTCCTTCCTCTTCTTCCTCTTAATCAGCCTCTTGTTTTTCATCCTCCTCCTCCTCCTCTTTTATCTTTCTCTTCTCTCTTTTCTCAGTCTTGTGTGCTCCTTTGCTCTAGTTTTTTGAGGCAAAGTAGAATGAAAAAAACTACACATACTGAAGCTTCAATTTGATGAGTTTTAATATTATTATGTTCACAAAGTCATCACAACAATTAAGATAATAAACATATCCATTACCCTCAAACATTTTCTCCCCTTTTCCTTCCTATCTATCATCCTTCCTTCATAGGAATTTTCCTTCCAAGGAATTTTCCTGGCATGAAGATATTCAAGTGTTCTTCTATTATCTGCTTTAAAAAAAAAAAAAAAACACAAACCCCCCCAAAAACCATTTTTTTTGTTGTTGTTGTTGTTTGTTTATTTGCTTGTGTGTTTTTTGTTTGGAATGTGGTAACTCTCAATGGGCTTCTAGAGTTTCAGGATGGGGACTGCTATCAGAAAGGCCAAGACTTGATAAAAGTCCTGGACTTTCAGCCTTATCTACACTGCTCCCACCTTTTGGGAGAGGAGAAAGGCTAGAAGTTGAGCTAATAATCAGTCATGCTTACATGATGAAACCTCCATAAAAATTTTTTTAATGATGAATTTTGGAGACCTTCCAGGTGGGTGAACACATGCAGGTTCTGGGTGGTGTGCTCCATATGGCAACTCTAGGCAAGTCCCTTCCCAGCACCTTGTCCTGTGCAGCTTCTCTATTTGGTTGTTCCTATATTGTATCTTTTATAATAAACTAGTAATAGTAAGTAAAGTGCTTTCCTGAGTTCTGTGATTCACTCTAGCAAATTATTAAGCCTTGAGTATGGATGGGGGTAGACATGAGAAACCCTCATTGTGGTCTGAATCTGATATTTTCCCTGATGTCTCATTTCTTGAAGGCTTGGTCCTCAGTACAGCAAGGTTCAAAGGTGGCTTTTTGGAAAATTATTGATCATAAGGGCTCTGATGT